GGGGATGGGCGGTTCAGGCAGGTCAGCGAAGAAGGCCTTCAGGGCTCCGGCCGCAGCGTTCACTGCCACATCCATCACCACAAAGTCGATGTTGTGATCTACAGGTGGACATAAAAACAAAAGGCAAGACAGACACAAGTCAGCCATTACTCAGGCAGTGGCGTCGGAGTGTCAGCCGTCTCTTAACAAGGACTGAAAAACGAGGGCTGCTGGTAAAAAAAAGAAAAGAATAAATACAGAGGATGGAAGAGAAATATTTATCACTTCCTGTTTTGGACCTAAAGTGATGAAAGGGAAGGAGGAAGGAGAAGAGGGAGGAGGAGGCCTGAGCCCTGAGGTAACAGGACAGCTGTCACACTGAATGTGAGGGAGTGCCAACACAAGCACACACATGGTCATGTTTGCACACACACAGACACAGCATGTCCACTTAAGAAAAGGCAAAAGAAGGAGAGAAGAGATAGAAGTGACAGAAAAAAGAGAAGGAAAAAAGCAGATAATAAGGTCGACTAAGGAGACAACAGTAATGTTGTTTATATGTAAACATTTCAAACCAACAATGTTGTAGGTGTCATGGGAATTATTATTAATTATGGAAATGACGCATCGAGAAGAGACTTAATTTTACTTAACCTTAAAGTTTTTACAAGCTCCAGGGTTGGTCTGGTTAGGTTGTGTCTGTGTTGTCTGTGACTGTGTCTGGATTCAGACCTGTTTGATTGACAGTGACTGAGGACAGGTCTGCTGTCCTCACACGACTGTCCACAACCAGAGAAGACTCTGACCAACTGCAGATCATGGGTGAATGGGAAGAAACTCCTACAGCTACTTTAAGCTGGTCTGCAGTGCAGTCAGGTCTGGATTTGGCCCAGAGTTTTGTCTTCTGGTTAGATTTAAATTTATCACACACGTCACACAAATGCTGCTCAATTGCTAACAGGTTTCTCCACTGTGCTCCAGGGTTCTTAAAAAACAGACAGGATTTAAAGTCCTGGGAAAATGGTTGAGAAGGAGAATCTGGCAGAATGATAAACCCTCCACCGACACACGTGCTCTGAACAGGTTTGTAGGTCACTGAGCGTGTGTGACTGTGAAGCTCTGAGCTCCTTCACCTTGGTCAAACTGTTTCTGGATGTTGTCCTGGTCTGTCTTGTTCCCACTGACTCGATACAGGCCTTCAGTGGTCAAACCTGAAAAACACACAAATGACACAGCGTCAGTGAAAAGCTCTCGGCAGAAACTTGAGCACAAAAGAAAATATGGAATTGGACGACTGCAGTTAGGTTCCACTGATGCTTCATGTCTTCTCTACAGGAAATCAAGGCATGAAAAAAAACACTCACTCTTCAAAACCAGTGATTTTATTTACTGCAGTACAGAGAGACAGCCTGTGTGTTTCAATCAGGGGCTCACGGAACAGTCAGCAGTGACTTTGTGTCAGTTCTTCTCATCAATCTGACCTATGGCATCATCACCAACAACTGAAACAAACAGCGGTGTTTACATCTGTGGTGTATCTGGTGTAAATGGCCTGACCTGAAGCACAGACATGAATCAACACTTGACTATTGGGCATGCCTGACGTTCAGCATCTGTCTGAAAATATCACAGCCAGCTGTCAACTAACAGCTGACCTGAGATCTGTACGTCTGAGGGGGAGAAAGGGAGAGTGTGTGTGTGTGTGTGTGTGGGTGTGTGTGTTTGGTCAAGCATGCGCACCTAATTAAAGCTATAATGTGTGATCTGCTGCAGGCATAAACACACACTGTACACCCAGAACCACACACATAGTACACCATCACCGGCTGTGCACAAGGTCAACCTCAGGTGCAGCACGTGTGTGTGTGTGTGTGTGTGTGTGTGTGTGTGAGACATTGTTAACCTTAAGGGACAAATTTTCAGACCATAAACCAGTTAATTGGGGACAATGCAGTTTCTTCACTTGGATGGAAACTGCGTGTGTGATTGTGTGAGAGAGAGAGAGAGACAGAGAGAGACAGAGACAGAGAGAGAGAAAGAGAGAGAGAGACAGAGAGAGAAAGAAAGAGAGAGAGAGAGAGTGTGTGTGTGTGTGTGTCCATATGCACGTCCCTGCAGAGGCAGTTAAGCAGAAAAAAGTAGTGCAAATGCAAATTCAGCTGTAATGGATTCAAGTAAATCGTGTCAAGTGTGAGGCAGCAGAAGGGATTTGTGTGTGTGTGTGTGTGTGAAGATAAATAATCCTTTATTAATCCCACAACAGGAAATTTTTACCAATTTGCCATGTTGCAGCAGCAAAGACGGCAAAGAAAAAAGCAGAAAAAGTGACAGAAATAAACCTACATACCTACATAGTAGTAAAAGAACACACACACATGTAAAGATGATACAGTGTGTATTTGGTACTAGTATCTAGGGACAGCATCAGGGTGTGTGTTTTCAGTACCAGTAACTGTGGCTCATGCCAGGAACTCTATTAATTTTCAGGAGCTACTTCCAGGAATAACAAATAATACCGTTAATTACGTAAATATTTCATCTGAATTTCACAACAAAAGCCATTCATTTCACGTTGGATGAGGAGATGAGGATGAGACGTTGGACTGGGGGACGCAGCTGTTTGTCTTATCATGACAACCAGAGGACACAACAGACAGTCAAACATCACCTAGAGCTGCTGCAGGTGTGTCTTTAAAGGAGAGACAGCTGTCCAGGGCGTGGCCGTCGTGTTGATGTGACGGACACACTGAGGACATCTGTCCCCCTGTCTCTCTAGTTCCTTTCACGTCTTTTACATTCTTCAACCAGTCCACTCCTCTTTCACCTCTGAACAATAAACGACCTCCATCTAAAGGTCAGCTGTACATCCCTGTGTCTGCGCGAGGATATCGGACTCTCAACAGGATGTTAGATCACATGCACGATCGTGCATTTACACACACACACACACACACACACACACACACAGAACGAGGGAAAGGAAGTCAGCAGAGCAGCTCATGTTTGCATGTTGGGATCTGATAAGACTTGCCCGCTGTGATATGATCTAATATCCTGACACACACACACACACAAACTTACTCTCACACACACACACACACACCATTGCGTCACTCTGGTCCTAAAGCAGTTTCTCCTGTTCTTTTCTCTCTTACTCTCCTCTTCCCTCCCTCTTCGTGTGCCTACCTTTCTCCCCCTCCTCTTTTCTGACCTCTCCCTCCTTCTCTCTACTCTTAGTCCTCTTTTTTGCCCTTGACTGCATCCTTCCTCTTCGTCTCCCCCTCCCATCTAACTCTCATGTAACCACTTTCCCGTTCACTCCTCCTCTTTCTCTCCCTGTCTCCCATCTCTTCTCCTTTTTTATCCCATCTTCATTTAAACTCACTCCCTCTTCTTCTTCCTATCCTTCCCTTCTCTCTCTCGCTCTCTCTCTCTCTCTCGCCCTCTGGTGTCAGTAGAAACACAGAGTCAATGAGTTCAATGAGTGAAAGTCATTCATTATCTATTTTTATCTCTTTCATTTAACAGGACCTGCAGAGAAACAACCCAAATGATAACCCCTAAACCCACAGCCTGTCCATTCAGTCTAGTCAAGTGGCGGCCCAGACACGACCTTTGAGTGACCCGCTCTGTGGTCATTTTACAAACGTGGAGAGAAACTGAGACAATCATAATTAGTGAGAAATACCACAGGCCATGAACGCAACAATCTCGACAGCCTAGCAAAATACAACCCACAATGCATCACTTGCGTCTGAAAGCGTTAGCATTTTAGTATCCAATAAATGTCCCTTTAAAAGCAGAAACGTTTTAAAGCAGAAACATTTATTTGTTTGTGTGTTTATTGAAAATAATATAAAAAATGTTTTTCAATGGTTTCATATGTTTTTATCCACTTTATTTCAGAGTTACACAATGTTGAATAGCCACAGCAAAGGTTCAGCCCAGCTGAAATTTGTGATTTGAAAATCTGGCAAACTGAATTTGTGATTGTATTCTACACTGACCTCCTTTAACCTCCTTTTTTATTAACGTTTGGACCGTAATGAACTTCCCTCAGAGTCAAAACCATTCATTTTAGAAAGGCAGAAAAAGAGAAGTTTTCAAATCCAAACCTTTTCATCAGTCATGGACTTGAACTGGTTTAAATTTCACCACTTGTTTTCATGAATACATTTCTACTTGAATGCAGTGGAGACTTTTGGTCTGTGATGTAGTGAAAGTATTTTTGATTTTTGGTCAGTGAAAATCCAAAGACAGAGCTGTGATGCTGTCAGCGTGTGACTCACAGAGAGGATAATTGTTGCCATCACTGCCAACAGTCAGCGCTCACAGGGACACATACAATCACACACTGTGTCATTAAAAAGAAATGTGTTTTTATTCAAGACTGAGTTTCTATTGCTGTGACATTTGACCCCGGTGATTCACAAGCGTGAAATGTTTCACCTTCATAAAACAATGGTTTAACGACTTGTTTTCATTTAGATAACCAGAGCGAGGCGTTGGCAGGAATAGATAATCTGGTTATCCCCTCAAACACACACACACACACACACGCACGCAGACACACGCACACACACGCACGGACCGACCAATCAGGCTAAAGAAAGCCTCTCCAGCTTCTCCCTCACCATCAACAGATCCCAGCTCTCATGTTCCACTTTCTCATATCCAGGACACTATGTTCATTAAACATGTGATGGGACGCACTGACACGCTAACATGCTAACACGCAGCGACTCTGCAAATTAGGGAGATGATAAATGTGCAGGTGATTTTTTTTCCCCCCTGGTTTTACCACCAGGGGAATTTACACTGCAGCTTTTTCCCCACTCTCCTCAGGCTCAGATGTAGAGCTGAGCTTCAGTCTGGAAGTCATTCATGCCTCTGTGTGTGTGTGTGTGTGTGTGTGTGTGTGTGTGGTCAAAAAGAGAGTTAATGACCAAGGTGAGGACTTTCTTTGTCTCAATGCACGTGCACGCACACACACACACTATCAAGGGTTTGGTCTGGTAGAGTCATCAGTTTGTGTGCGTTTGTAAATGTAATGGCTGGTCCTCCACACAACCATGAGTCAATATAAATCAATAGAAAGGCCACAAGGAGTAAGAGGGTGTGGGTGTGTGCATGTGTGGATGATTTAATATGTGGGCACCCTGGGTAATGAGATTTATACACACACACACACACACACACACACACACAGTCACAGTCTGGACTAGGACCAGGATCTTCATTAGGACTGATTGCTGGACTCATTGTTCCAGTTATGTCCCAGTGTGAATCACTGATTTACTGTGGCGCCCCCTGCACTGAAAATAAGCGCCATGACACCCAGAACAAAACCTTATCCATAAACCTGAGCACAGTTTACATCTGCATTCATTCCAGAGTTCCAGAAATAAATTATGCCTCACAAGAGCGCTACTAATTATGTGCCTTCACAAAATCAGTACCAACGTATGTTCTTATGAGTACCAGAGAAGGAGCTGCAAAGGTTAAACAAACAAGAAGAAGAGGAGAGAAGAGAAGGTGAGAGGGTGGGAGAAGAAAGGAGAGGAATGGAGAGGAGAGTGTGAGAGCTGTGAGGAGCAGGAGTTAAAGCTGGAAAAAGACGATGATTAAAGTGAAAGTGTGACGGCAGAGAGAAAGAAGAGAGGTTAGGAGGAGAAGAGAGTTGAGGAATGATATGGGATCAGGGCGATGTGGAGGAGGAGCAGGATGGGAGCAAGGGACGAAGGAAAAGACAGATCACCAGAGGAGGAATAACAGAGGAGGAGAAGGCAAAGTCTGTCCCTCCTGTTCACCAACATGGGCGAGTAAACGCCCTCCAGAGACTGTGATCACACACACACACACACACACAGACACACACACACACAGACAGACGCACACACAGACACTGCTGGTTCACCTGCTGTTACTTCTGCATGAGAACTTTGAATATAATCAGTTTTTAATGATTCCCAGCTCTGAACAGCAGAAGGTGGTCAGCTGATGTCTTCATTCTGCTGAGGCTCAACCTGTTTTTAAACGACTCAATCAACACAAAGATTTAAGTTGGGTTTTTTTTTTGTTTGTTTGTTTTTGTTGCAGAATTTATGACATTGTGAAATTTTACTTATATTTTGAGAGCATGTTCAAACAACTTGATGATGTGTTTTACCCAGCAGGTGGCAGTTTTCCACATAATTGTTCGCCTGTCATG